TAATATTTAACCAAATAGAGATCAATATAGCACATGATAGATGCTTTAGCGGTATCTATATATATGGCATTAGATCCCTTATCAAAGCTTCTTTAATTGCTGAAAACTTTATTATTCTCAAACTTGTAGGGGGGTTTTATAATTTTGGGAACCCCTGTACTATCGAATATTCAATTTAATTTTGAATAAAACTGTAAAGATTAAATTGAACATCGAAAATATTTAAGTTGTTTCAAATTAAAGAAATAAGAATGCTGTAAGTCTACCAGCAAAAAGAACTTTTATCGATATTTTCATATTTTTTTTATTTCGAAAACTGTTTTCACTAAATATTTCTTCTAAAATTGTAAAACAATCATGCAAATATGTATAATTCTAAAAAAAACTTTGTGAGATATTTGAACTGTTAGCGACACTTTCATTCAAACATTGTTATCGAATTTTTGTTGTTTTGACCATCGTAGTCGGACAACTAAGCAGGTATTCTTCTTCTAAATTTTGTGCTGACAAAAAGAAATCATTTGAGAAACATAGACGACAATTTTTTAGAACTTGAAATTCTCTAATTTTAGGCGCACGAAAGCATCTTTTTTTGTGATTGAGAAACGAGAGAAGAATACACTGAGATTGAGAACAAGTTCTTCTGGGACACTCATTATTGTTATTAATGCTTTCATATGAACTCATTGACAATAAATCCGAAATAAAGTAAAGAAGGCCTTTTCAATATTTATTGTGCTCGGACATATGTTAACAATAAATTATCTATTTTATTTCTTCTAAAAAAAAAGTTCACTGTCAAAGGTTCACTGTTAGATTTAGAGCATTTTTTTACTTGTTATTCTTATCAGTATTGATAAAGTAAAGATTACAAATGTTTTATGCCACCTTACTTAGAAATGCACCCAAATTTAATAAGAAAATTTAAATATTTTGAACCTATTTCAATGATTATGACGTATGTTAAATAAATTATCGCGCTATAAATATAGACGGATGTCTGTTTTTGATAATCAAACTAGCAATAATCTAATAAAGCGTTTGGTTCGATAAGAGATTGAAAGAAAACTGAAAAACAACTCAAACTCATTTAGTTAGGCTTTTTTTTATTGGCTCTAGTACATAGTCTAACAAAATTGTCGACATTATTCTTCTGACATTCTCTAATATCATTTCCCTAATTCAATTTTCTATAAACAAAAAAAGTGTTATACCACGTAGACCAATAGATAAAAACATCTTTCCTCATTTAGACAAAAACGATCTAAACAGTTTGAATGCATGCTTCATCCTGCTGATGATGACTGTACGTGTAATGGTGGATTCCCGTTTCGTCGAAAAATTAAACTGTCATGAAAAATAGTATAATCAGAGTGATAAACTAGATTTCTTTGATTGACTTAAACTATTTCCTTAAAAAGAAACTACTTGATGTCCCTATACTAGTAATCTGTATTTTTGAAAAAGTATAAATATGAGGAGGAAAAGGAAAAATTCAATTTTTTTTCTATATTCATTCATTATTACACAAAATGATGCTATCTATTGTTGAAAGTAAACGTAATATACCAAATTTAATATTTGATACTTTTCGCTACACAAAATCAAATTCTAAATACAACTGTTTATTGAAAATGTGAAAATCGTTCATAAGTGTTGTGGGCGGATGTGGATGTTTTCTTCTTACATTCACATTCACTCTCATCATGTCTTTTAGCAACTGGTAATTACCTCCACGAAAAAATTTATTTGTAAATCGAAATGTACGATTACATAAATTAAACGAACGTTTTAAACAACAAACATGAACGTTGAATAAATCTCTTGAAAAATTTCTGGGACTAATTGGAATAAAAAAGTGTTGGTTTTTTCTTTTCTATATTCATATTTTCTTCTAATAATTTATTATTTATGTATCTAAATCTGCTCTGTAATAAAGTTTTTTTTGACAAACTGATCTACAAGTAATTAGGCACTATTCCTGATTAGTATGATGAAAAATCTCATCAAATGATATAATCTATTCTTCGTTGATTAAGCAGAATTTATTTTTTCGACGAAACGGGAATGAAAGAAAAATAAATTTTCGACGAAACGGGAATGAAGGAAAAATAAATTTTCGACGAAACGGGAACAGTCGTTTTTTCATTTTCGACGAAACGGGAATGAAAGAAAAATAAATTTTCGACGAAACGGGAAAATCAATTAAGCTTTCGACGAAACGGGACCTAATCGTTTTTCTAGTTCCTTGCTGTAAAAGTAATAGAGTATTGCGCCAAGTATTTTCACGAGTATGAGTAAAAGTGATAAAACAAAAACCTTCGAATAAAAACTGAAATTTTTCGTGGAGCGTCGGTTCGATAAAGGAAACTTCCAGCTTTCAAATGACATTCTGTACTTACAAAAAAAAATGTCACTTTTATGATTGTATCTAAAAAAAATACCAAAAAGAAAAACGTGGAGTCGGGTATGTACCCGTTCCGATGATTATTTTGTACCTTTTCTTTTTCCGCCCGATGAAAAGAAAAAACCTTTTTTCCAAGGGAAGTATGATATGTGAAAGCAACAAGCTTTTTCTACTTAATTCGTGTTTCAAAAAATAATTTACTATTGATGCAATGTTTTTTATGTAGCTTTGACTCATACTAGTAAAAAATGCCTGCTGTTATACTCTAAAATATAATGCACTATTGAAATTCTCATTGAAATAAATATAACACCAAATCCAGAAATACTTTGTTTTTCTTTTGATTCAATTAAATTATATTTTATACGATCGAAAAATACACGCCCTAATAAACAAGAAAATGACGCATCGATAAACAATCACAATTGGTCTATGATTTGAAAGAACGAATTAAATACAAAAAACATTTTACATAAGTCTTTTTTTGATAACTTCTTTATTCGATGCTCTCTTCTGAATGACATATTAGAGCTTGGAAGAATTTTTAAGTTAATTTCTTCTCTATAAATTTACTGATGCATGTTGTTTACAGTATAACGTCAATGATAATTAATAGATCTTCATACTTTATAATAAGCACAATCATAAATAAAAAATTTCTATTATTACACACATCAACTGAACAATACTAAAAAGCTGTTATCACGATTCTTGTCGGATTAAAATATAAAACACAATGTAGTTGCTGATGCTAATTAGAGGGGGATTGTTTTATTCTGTCTATTTCGAGACATATTTCTTCATCATTCTCTTATTTGATTCTCCAGCAATACAATATAGAAGTAATTCATATAGTAGAACGAGACATTATTGATATTCGGTCTCTATAAGCCTTCCAAATTTTCATCTCTGTTTTTCAACAATCGTTTTAAACCGTATTCTACAATATTTTCTGCCATCATAGTAAATATACCAATGACTACACTGAATAAATTAGTTGCATGCAATCAAACTATACTTTTTAGGTGGCTAATGTGGATTGGTTACGAGGTAGTAGTGGTGATCTATCATGCGAATCGATAACGTATGTATAATTATTAAAATATGACTAATTTAAGGGCAGGGTAATTGATAAAAATCATGAATATTAGTTATATACTCTGGTCATGCATGTTATTGTCTAGTCGGAATTTTCTCCGAGCAATCAGATATGTACTGACGTCATATTCAGTATATATACGTCGAAAAAAATATTTACATTTAAGCATCAATCCTTCGCAATACATTTCTTATACGTACAGCAATGGCTTACAGTTATTATGATCCAATTGAATCTGCTTTTGCTCAAGCGGATAGAAATCGAGACGGAGTATTAGATCGAAATGAATTTCGAAATTTTCTTGATTTTCAAAATGCTGATCGTAATCGTGATGGACGTGTTAGCTATGCTGAGTTTGCCAACATAGCTGGTAAGTCAAATGATGATTTTATTAAATACATAGATTTTTATTTTATTTTATAGCACCAAATCTTAATATTCATCCAAGATATACGGCACGAGCTTTTCAAATCGCTGATCGAAATCATGATGGTGTTTTAGATCAACAAGAATTAGCCGATTTCTCCGATTTTCAACATGCTGATATAAATCATGATGGTCGCGTTGACCAAGCTGAAATGCGTTTGTTTCTTCATCACAATCAAATGAATATGTGTAAGTACTTAGCTTTAAGCCTTTTCTTATTAACTTCTTTGTTTTTTATTCAGATTCACCTTATAATTATGGACAACAACCATACTATCGATATTAACCTGGTTATCCACCACGTCGTTACTAAGAAACTTCTATATCTTTTCGTACTCACTTTTATATTGATGTGAAAAAATATTTCATAAGAGCAAAAATAATAAAATTATTCATTTGATAATTTATGATTCAATTGTTGTATCATCTGTTTTTCGTATGAATAAAAGTTGACATGTTTCTCCTAATGAATATTGAGATAAAACGAAATATAGATTATTTGAGTAGGTATTGACAGTTCAAACTAATTGTATAAAAGATCTCATGTTGAAATAATAAAACTTTCGTTCTGCTTTTCTTTTTCAAGTATTTTGAAAAGAATTTATGTCTACACGTGTTCAATAAACATATGTAAAAATTCTATGACATGAACGAACGTATAAACAAAAAAAAAGACAAGAACAGAATAGTTTTGTAATTCAAAAGAAAAGCAACAAAAAAAACAAAACATTTTAAACATAATAAAACACTTGTCATCGTATGTCAATAATGCAAACAAGTATTTTATGTAGACACTAGTAGAACAGTTTAATCATCATCAAACGCCTACATTCAAATATTCAATTTCAATTTTTTTCTTATTTGTCTTTTTATTGTTGTGGTGATTCTAAATGCCATCACGTGCTAATCCTTCATATACAGTATCAACGGATGATCATCAAAAAAATTCTCATAGCAGTATACAACAACAGCCAACGTCCAATTTTCAATATAATCCATGGGATTTTGAATATCCTTGGTCGCATGGTTTATGTAGTTGTACAAAACAATGTGATGAAACATGTTATGCTATATGGTGTTATCCTTGTTTTATTTGTCAGCTTACATGGCGTATGAATGAATCTTGTTGGATAGGTTGTTGTATACCTGGTTCGTTACCTATTTTAAGAACAAAAATTAGAACAGCATTTCGTATTGAAGTATTAATCAAGACAAAAAAAAGATTAACTTATTAATGTAAAACTTATAAATATATATTTGTGTTTTTAGGGCTCGTATTTCTGTGATTTTTGTGTTGCTGAATGTTGTCCATTATGCGCAGCATTACAAATGGCTAATGAATTACATTATCGAAAAGTGATGCGTTAACGTTTTGTTTTTGTCAATAGAACTCAACAGAATTGATTCATTATGTTAAATTGAATACATTTTTTTTAAATATATTATAAAACTATTTTTTATCATTTGACGTATCTTATCAGATGAATTTTTTCTTAGATGATGCATAGGAAAATATTTAAATATGTATAGAATAATCATTAAAACTAGAAAAAAATATCTTTGAATATTTATATCATCGCATCCGAGGGCGTGGGCTTATTACTAGGTTTTCCTATTGAATTCTTTATATCTCACTTGATAAAAATTAACTAGAAGCCAGAATTATCAATTGAATTTTAACGATGTCAGTTCAAGGATTCATAAAAGAATAGTTCGTCTTTTTTATCCTATTAATCGATAAACACAAATGTATCATTTGAGTTCTATTCCTAATCATATTTCTTCTTTAGAATTATTAGTGCGTATATGTATGTTGTCAACAGTTAAAAGATCTCATGAGATTTTTCTCAGTTCGTAAATGACATTCATGATCGTATTATTGGGAATAAGCGTAATAGAAAATTGCGACATCACGTCTCTTTTCCTTCTCATTATTGTTTCCATTTATTATTCAGGCCCGACATGGGCATGGCAACAGAGAAAAAGAGAGAAGGGATAAAAAAAGAAAAAAGAAAATCAGCTCTTGCATTGCATTCGATCTTTTCAAGTGAAAGAACATGAACAACGATTGTTAAAATACTATGCTCGACATTGTTGTATTGCATTCTATATAGTATAGAACATAAAATTGGAAAAAAAAGAAAGATTTAGTTTACGAGGATTCGCTTTTCTTTCTGGTTGCCCTCGTCAAAATCTTTCTGTGAACGTTCTCAGTTTTCTTCTTCTATAAATATGATGTTGATGAGAATTTCCGACAAGGCAACAACATCATTCGGAAAAGAAATGCATGTTGTCGTTCGTTCACTGGTAAATATAAAAATGTGTTGAGAAAATATAATATGTTAGATAGTTAATGCGTTAAAATACAATATCTTATGAATTTTCTATAGGTTAATCAAAGAAAGGTTTTTATTTATATTATCTATTCATTAAATAGTTTGACACTATTTTTTTTATTTATATACGGATTTATTTTATACGTTGATTTTTGTCCAAAGAAAAAAAAAGAAAGAACGGAAATTTTATGTTCATGTTCTGTCTATATTAATTTTATTAGAAAACCGACCTTGTCATAATAACATGAGAATGAGAAAAAACTCAAAACATAAAAGAAGACGCGTTCATGTTCATTCTGAATAGCTATAGATCCTTGTGCTGCTGTTTTTCTTCTGTAACTTCCTTCAATAAAGAATTGAGCAGATGATGAAAGAGAAGAAAGGATATGCAAAAGAAAAAAAACAATAGCAATAAGAAATCCATAGCGAGAAGATGTTGATGCTAAGTATAGAAACTCAAAGCGATGAAAAGACAAAAAAAAATAAGAGAGAGACAAGCAATAAATACTTATGATATGGGTTTTCCTGTTTTCTTTCTCTCTCACACTCTCTTGTTGTCTTTTTTTCTATTCTTCGTTGTTTTTGTATTTTAGTGTAGTCTTACATATTCATTCTAAATCTTAATGGCATCACCGGGTGACACTTTGAAAAATAGTCTATTTGGACAACTTAAATCATATAGTAATGCTGTTCATGATGTTTTTGAACAACGTATTGGTAAGATTATGTATATTTTTATATATAAACAAACATTATAAAAAGAAATTCCTTTTTTTATCTTGTGAGTATTTTTATCTATTGAAAATTAGACTTTCATATCAATATTAGGTGTTCTCAATAATTTCTACTCAAAAAAACAAAATAACAAGATTATTAAAATAAATTTTCATTATATCAACTGTAATCTTTCTGCTGAAATCCAAAAGCAAAAAAAAAGTCACTACTAATTCTAACCAATCTTCGTCTTTGATATAATTACTTCTTTTTTTTTCTTTTGCGATCATTCATCATCCGATTATTATAGATTTTCGTACAGAAAAAAAAAGCAAAGAATATATTACATTTACTATTAATAGGAGATCTTGTAGACAACAAAAACTGAAATATTAACCTTGTTGCTTTGATTTAATGAATAGGAGTATTGATTGAATTACTCTTTTACTTTATAATGAAATATGCGCAAAAGAAAATATTACTTTTTTTAACTCAATAATGAACACGTCATAATTTTTTTTTTGTTTCAGCACGTCCATTACTAGCGTTTAAACGTGATTTAAGTCGTCCTATATCTGAAGCTCGTGTACCAACTAATCACGAATCATTATCATCATCAAATCGTACATGTCAAGAATCTTCATTATCATCATCACCACTTGAAATAATTGATGTTGATACAAATAATTCATTTAAATCTTTATTTGATAAAGTACGAAATTCTTTATCACCATCAATTAAACGACGAACATCCGAAAATCCAACAAATGTTGAAACAAAAAATATATTAAAAGAAAATCAAAATTTATCTGTAAATATTTCAACAAATAAACAATCACAAAAACATCGTTTACGTCAAAAAAGTGTTTCATTTGCTGAAAATATTGCTACTGATAATGATAGTGACAGTTATAGTCAATATTCAATTGATGATCGAAATGAAATTGTTCGAAATGCTCAAACACTTGCTGATAAAATATTAATTGCAAGTATTGATGCAACAGCAGCAACTAAACTAGAAACAACAGATAAATTATCAAATAATAGTGACGATGATTTTGAACAAGATTTTCATCAAACAATAAAACCAAGACGTATATCAATAAATAATGTAGAAGAATTAGTTTATCAAGATTTATCAGCTGAAATTGTTGCTTATGTATTAAAACATGCTTTAAGAACATTAAAAAAAGAACAACATGAATTAACTATCAATCAGAATAAACAAGATGAAGATTTTATTGATTTAAAATAGCATTTACAGTCTTTTTATTTATTTATTTTTTTCCTCATGTATTTAATCCTTATTATGTAGATAAAAAAGAAATACAAAAAAAAAACAAATTTAATTTAAATAAAAAAAAACAGAATTTTTCTTCTCTTTTTGTTTTTATAATCAAATACTCTTTAGTTCATAATGAATGATTAGAAGAAAGAAAAAAAAATGTTTTTTTTCACACTAACAAATAAAACCATTAGAACTTTGATGTTCTGGTAATGGGTAATAATATTCATTGTTTAATGAAATGCTTTTTGTTTGTGTTAATGAAGCTTAAAGCCTCACAAACAACTTTCATCTATTGAAAACATTAGAACTATCTATGACTGTTTTGTTATCACGTCTCTTTTTATTATGAAAATAGTCAAAGGATGAAATATTTCAGGAAATTTTTAGTATTTTCAAATGTATATAGTAATTGACATTCTTGAAACTATTCTTTCCAGATTTTTTTCTTGTTTCATCAATCAAAACATCTTTTTTTACCTTGAAATTCAGACAAGTGTCTTATTTTTTTCACTCATAAGATTCCTATTTGACCTCGAAAGCAAATGTCATACGATGTCTATATAAACTTGTGTCAAAGTTAACTAAAATCTTTTAAGCTTGATTAGCTATCTTTAAAGATCATCTCGTTCAATTTGAAAGCCAACTGAATTCTAAAGTTACCTTCAACATATATATGTATACACAATGACCTTGAAATTCATTACAACCAGTAGATAATTTTATTTTATTTAGTGTATACCTCAAAAAAAAACTGAATGAGCTACAACGAACTGATTTCCATCACATTATAGCTCATAGTCTCTAGTATACTAGGCAAAAATTTCACACTAATCCATTGATCTATTCAATTTTCATAGACGAGACAAAGAGACCGTACTGTTTTCATTATTCTAAAATTATCGAATTATTTATGTTTGCAAACTGTTGAGAGTCTATTCTAAGTGTTAATTTTCTTTATTATACATGATTGAATACAATATACTGCGCTCTACATAATGAGTGCTTTTTTTTGTAGCCTTTCTTTAGATAAGAGGTAAAAAGAAGTATGTTCATGATCCATATCAAATATTTTTAACAAGAAGGCGGCAAAAAAACACTTTTTTTTCATATCATGTTTAGTCAGTTTTGTTGTTTAATATTGGCATTTGATATTCTATTTGAATAGATATTTCGTGTTGGAAAGTTATATTGAATAATAGAGTTTTGCTACGTTATAAATAGAAAGTATGAAAAGATTATCGTAGTCTCAGACAGATATTAATTATGTATCTTACCAGAGAAAGATGTATCAGATGGAACTTAACACAGCACGTTGTACTAAGTTTCATTCTCTATCGGCATATACGTCACGTGCAGAAATTAGCTATCTATGTAATGATCTCTGCACTTAGACTCCTACGGGCATTACGGTAAGCTTTTTACTCTTGGTATTGATATATTAAGCAATAAAATTAGTTACACATAATTGTTATATTTAATTTAATGAATAAAAATAATTGTTCTATACAGATAATATGTGTATGTATTGTATGTCACTATGAAGTAAGTATATCTAATAACCTATTCGTGAGTTGATCTTAGAAAGTTTCCAAAAACAATATTATTAAAACAGAAAATATCGGCAATGGACGAAACATTATCGATGTTAAGGTGGTTAATATGAAAAATTCGAAATATAGTAACGTGCAATTTTAATGTTAATAGAGTATATTATTTTGTTATTTGTTTTTTCTCTTGATGAAAAGTATTACATTTATAGCATGACCATGAAATTGCTTTTTTTTTTTCTTTTATGATTGTTAATGAATTCCATTTTGTCATTTTGCAATTCATCTAAAGACATATGAAGTTGAGTGCATTTTGTTGTAGCTATTTTTTGTTTTTTCTGATGTCTTGTGTTAAAAATGGAAATAAAAGATCAACGAAATAAAATAGTCTTGTTGACATGTAGCAGAGGTTACATCTAAATTACGAGAATCTCACATGAAAGGACAATACTTGTTTCATCAGACTAAATTCTATCTACATAACTTCTACCAGCAAGTCAAGATCTTTTTTTTTCGTTTGTTCTAAGAAAAGAATCTTAAAATGAAGCATATGTGAAACGAATTATGGTTCACAGTCAAGAAAGATAAGAATCTGGATAAAAATTAATGGTCAGCATTCCAATTCATATTATTGTTAATATAGAAGTAGTCATTGAAATAGGCAATTTTTCTTGACATCCATTCATTGCTTTACATTTTGACACAATAATTTGATAAAAGGACTCTTATTTTTAATTGAAAAAAAATAAGTGAATAGAGTTTAATCAATGAATACTTGATATAGAAAAAATTTTCCAGTATCTAGTGTCAGAATTAATTTATAATTTCGGATGTAAACGTTATGAGTTATGAAGAGCAGTAATATGTCGATCAATTGGAATGTTGATTTAGTTTTGTTTATGAAAAATTCAATAAATGTGATATAAGTTTCCTCTGTGGAAAAGAATTAGAACATATATCTGAAATTTTGATGAGTAAGATCCTTCATAACTAATTCGATTTACTGTTACAAGAAAAAACAAAATAGCTTTATTTTTTATCATCACTTAAGACAAGAAATACTTTTCGATTCTTGTAGAAATAAAGAATTCATAATATAATGTCTTTAAAATAGAAGAAATGATTATGCTTGAATGTAATATGAGATAATGAATTGCAAGGTATTTTTGGAAAAAAATTTTCTTTACTTTATATTTTGAGTTTTGTTATCGAACTACACATTTTGAATGCAAAAGAATAGAATAAATATTTTCTTCTAAACAGATCTGAATAAGTTCAAATCATGAATTGGATTCGAAAGTTGGTTACTGTGGACTCAAGTTACTCATTTCAATCAGCAAAAATTGATAATTCAACATCAAAATCAGTTTCAGTTGAAATTGATCATTGTCTACATGAACAAAATTCAACCAGTGATCTTAGACTCCAAAAAAAAAATCTCATATCAATCTCTTAATAATCTTGCTAGAGAATGTTTGTTTTCTTCAAAACGGTCTTTTAAGCTTCTCTCGAAAACTGATGTTGGGCTAGATATATTCAAGTCCCATGAAATTTTGCAGGATATCTTGAAACCATAGTGAAGAGACTATGCTAAAATTTTCAGCAGTATACCATGGAGTGTTCGGTAGATATTCAACATATAGAAGTCAAAACGGCTCTTTTAGTTAACCGAAATTCTTTCTGGAACTTCATTCTATACACTTGATTTTTGTTTTTATTTTGAACAGCCCTTCTCAATGCAGAGCCTTTTTTTTTTCTAAATTCTTACTTTCTAAGGAAAAAAAGCAATGAAAAGTTAAAAAGATTCTGTCACATCTTGCATCTCAATATCATCTTCAAGCAAAAAGAAAATTAAATATATAGAACGAAAGTTTTCAGAGAGTTGTAAGTTGGTCGATCAATAAAACAAAGTGAAAAAGATGTTCCATTTTTTTTCTGAAAAGAAAGCATATTATTTTGAAGTGAACGGTGACGGAAATCATCAAAAATTTCATCAAAAAAAGTAATATGCCAAATAGATAAATTATATCGTTTATGAAAATACAGATCTCAGACTATCTTCTCATCCATGTATGTAAAGTTCAATTTTTCTGTCGAAAATTGACTTTTTTTGAGTGATTGGGAAGGTTTACTCCGCGATCATACTGTTCCAAGCTTATTTTTGCAATTTAACATTGTTGATTTACATTAATATATTAATTTCAACTGTTCATAGTTTTTTGCTTGTAAACAACTTTAAGTTTAGATTGCTTTTACTGTCTTGAAGAACTGTGTGAAAGAAAAGAGTTTATTTTATTGCCCTTACTTCCTTGATCAAACTGTAGTAATTGTGCCATTTAATATTATACACAATTTTTTTTTCGTGCATAGAAACTACGAACAAGATTCGTATCATGAAAATCTTGCTGATATCGTTCTTTATAAACATACATAGAGAGCGGGAAAAAAAATGACTAACAATAACTCGATTTGACTCGACAAGTGACTTGTCACGCCTAAATCTAACTCTAAATGAAAAATATTCAAAACTTTCAATATTAATTCAATGGCTTGATTATTTCTATATGTATACATTTAAGATTACGACTTCTTTTGAATATCATTTTAAAAAATATTAAAATTTCTTTTGAAATAAGAAAAAAAAATTTATTCTTTTCTACATCGTTAACAAAAATAAAAACTTTGTACATTAAAAAAAAAACATTCAGTTCGTTATCGGTTCAGTTTCGTTTGTAGCTTCAAAAAAGAGATTATTATTATTATTTGGTGCAAGTAACCATATAAAACCTTTTTCAACACCATTCATATCATCAACACAACAATCTTGTACTAACCATTGATTACCCAATGAAGTTAATTGTAAATCACGAACAACATCAATAGCTGACCATCGTTTTGTTTCTGTATTTCTAATACATGATAATATCAATAATGGTAAATAACTAAATTCTTTAGTCATAACTTGTAATTCTGTACAAAAATCATTTAATTTATTTTCTCGACAAGCATCAATAACATAAACAAGACCATTTGCTTCTCGACAAACATCACGTACTTGTGGACTTATTTCAAAATGATCAATATTATTTGATTGAACAAGACGATTATTAGTTATTAATCGATCTGTATTTGTACGATTTTCACGTTCTTTCATACAATTTGTATATAATGTTATTAAATTAAATAAATGTGTATGTAATTTCATTTTAATACCAGAACCAAATCCAGCATGTCCTGGTATCATACCCATAGTTTGAAAACGTTTTGATTCATCCCAAAGAAGATTTTTTACTAATGGAGATGTATAACTTTCTAAGCCAGGTCCAAACATAATTAAATCTTTTGAAGTACTAAACCAACTACGTACATACTTTGATAAATGAGAAAAAGAAACAAAAGGTTGTTCTGTTGGATTTAAAC